CTTCTGCTTGAAAAGTGCAGTTAACAGATCACCAGAGCAGTGATTCAGTTTTCAGTCCCTGGGAAATGTTCTGGTCTCCACATTTCTAGGACTGAGGAAGAAAGTTAACAGTGTTGTAGCCTTTGTCCTAACTGCACTGGAGAGAAAAAAAAAGGAAAAAAAAAGAAAAAAGTAATTACACTGTATGCTACCAGAAGAGAAAACACACAGTATTTAACTTAACCACAAACAGGAAATGTGTTGCTAAGTCACCCAGCAGTACATTCCCAGCTTTTCATCCAGAAATCCTATGTCATTAGCACAAGCACTGCACCGCACAGAACACACCACAATCCTTCCCTGCTCTGTGCAGCTGGAAGCTTTTCTGGAGCTTTTCTCTCTTCTTCATCAGTGCCATCACTGCAGTCAATGTTTACTCTCCTGTCTCTTCCTCCTTTTTGCAGTTTTAGTTGGAATTTATTTACATTTGGGAATTTTTAAAAATTCCTGAGTTTATCTTCAGATGGAAATCAGTCTAAGCTTGTTGACAGTGCATGAGAATGTGGTAAATAACAAGGAAAGCGTGGGGTTGAATAGCTTATCTTAACAGGTGGGAAAATAGGATTAGAAGTATTAACTGCTAAGCAATTAAAATAAATGAAGAGCGTTAATTGCATATGAATAGATAGTCTCTATTGACAGAACTCCCTAAACAATACTCTCTTAGACTACTTAATAAATATTATTTATTTGCAAACTCGAATCCAGAGAAAATCCACTCACTGATAATTCCATGAATTATTTGTTTGCTAAAACTTTATTTAATCTAAACCATAATTTCCTGGCTTTCTAGAGGCAATAACTGAGCACTCTGTAGAGTTTGGGTAAATAAAGCCATAAGAAGTTACTATCACAGGTATAACATTTGTTAGTGATTCGAAGGTACAGTAAAACATCTTACATTAACCTTTTAACAAATGTTAATTAAAACCACGGCGGATTCTAAACATGCCTTTAAATGGCTCAGGATGACACTTCAGCAAGTTTAACTCTCCCTGGCTGCAGTTTGTTTTTAACCAGCTGTGAGATGGCTGCCCCACAGCTCATTTATTGGGCTTTAAACTTTCCAGGTCCAAGATAACTGACACGTTTTGCCTTGTAGGAAGAGGAAGTTGAGTTTCCCACCTATTGTTTAGGAAAGATTTCATGTGGAATATGTTGGGGAGGTGATTGTGCTTACAGCAAACCTCCAGTTCAACCTGGCTGACTGAATCCAGGTCTCATTTAAAATCCAAAGCTGGACGAGCTCCGCCATTATCAAATGATACAGTAAAATTATGAACTTTACTTGTGTTAAGAGACTTTTTTCATTACACTGAATAATTGTTTTAATCTGGAAAAAAAAATCATTAGAGATTTTAATTTACTCCAGGCCAGGCTCCCCTAATACTTAGGAAACAAAGCATCAGTACAGTTTTTAGGTTTATATTTTCCAAATTCGTTATCTCCTTGTTAGAAGCATTTCCCCTCCTTGAAGCAGTGAACTGATTTGGGTGAATTGTCTTGTCACTCTTTTCTCTGTTTTGACCCCTCAGTCTATAATTCTAGATCCCAATGAGGTTTATCTTCTCCAAAAGATTTTCTGCTTTCAGGTTTTAACAGAACAGTAAGAAAACATAGTTCTTGCTTCATTCATGTTTTTAGAAACAAGGAATGTACAGAAAATAGCACAGGGTTATTTCAGGGGACAATGTAAAAAATACAAAAAAATTTTGCTTAATTTTTGACTTTTCCCACAAGAAAAACTAAGCAAACTGCTGATAAATGAAGTAATGGTAATCAGTTAATAATTGATTCTCTTTTTTCCCTTTACCTTTCAATATCCTATTCCATAGAATGATCAGAACTTTTTGCATTAATACTTCTATTTTTTCCCCAACATTTTATATTCTGGGACACAACTGCTCAATGTTAATAAAACACATTTATGTCTCATAAAACATGTCTTGTGTTTTCTTCCAAGCCTGAAAGAACTGGAGATGATCTGTACAGAGAGAAAAAAAAATTAACATTGCCGCTAAACACTGTATTCCAGTTTTTAAACATACAATTATTCTTACTCGTGTGTGCTACCCTAGTTACAATTTTTTACAATATAGTACATCTTTTTGACTTAGAGTCAAATCCCAGCAGTAACTGTGGATTTAAATAGAGTATTCAAGGTCTCAGTAAAAGCTGCTCATTTTTCACTCTTTCTCTGTCATCCTGGTGTTTTGGGCACCCAGCACCTCTGTTTCATCTGACTCTGACAGTGCAGTTCTGTCACTGCCTGCAGTTCTGCAGGAGGGAACTGAAAAGCTGTTTCTTCACACTGGGACTTTCATTTTCCCCTCGAAGGCTCCTGGAGGCTTTTCCTCTCTGTTCTGCACGTCTCCCACAGCCCCATGAAGGAGCTCACAGCTTATCTTGCTGTGGGATCTTCCCCAAATTGTTTACAAAATACCTTTTGATGTTCGTGTCTCCCAGCACAATTTGCTTCTCAAACATGACTGAAGAGTTCAAAATAAACTCCTTTTATTTACTACAAGGCTTCCCTTGACCACATCCAGCACTAGAGATGTTTCTGTTTATCCTGCTTTTTGTACATCTTCACAGCTTTTCACAAAAACTGTGAAAATATAATACCACATGGATAATACCACAGCAATTTTCTTAATAAACCACATTTCTATAGCTGCCCAGGGCTGCTCAAAGCACAACAGAACCAAACTGGGCATTTAATGGTCAGGCTGGGAACTTTCCTATTTTATTTATTTTGTCCACAAAGAAAGCTCTATCACAGTGTTTATCATTTCTGTACATGACACAAAGCCCTAACAAATAAGAATTCTACAGTGCAGGGAATGAATAATTATCAATGGAGTAGCTTGAAATGTCTCTCTCCATAGCCCATACTTCAACAAGCAGATTTCTGGGTGGAAATAAAGTTCATTTTGATGGAAATAATGCACATGGTGAAGCCATTAGTAATGCTAATGAGGAGCTCCCAGGCAGATGGACAAAAATAGGCCTGATTAAAGCTAAAGATCATGGTAAGAAATCTTTGTTCAAATTGTTCAATGGAAGAATTAGATAAAAACTTGTGGAATGCTCACCCATGGCCATTGCCCGTTCAGCATACCAATAACAGCTGCACTTACTAGAAAGGGAAGGATTTTTACTTTGTATTAACTGTTCTGCCCTGTGGGTAGCTCATGTCATTTATTGGGGGTGCATGGAGGGACTTCCATCGCCACACCTGCACCAGAGGTTTCTCCTTTGCTAACTTTTCCTAAGCTAACTCCACTAAAGCCCATTTTTGGGGACAAGGAAGAAAGGGACACATTTTACAAGTGTGTCCTTTTACAGGAGCTAACAGTGGGATTAGTTAAACAGCTTCTTTCCAGGGGAATAAACCAGTGGTATGATGCAGTTATTTAGTATGCAAACTAATGTTATTATATAATTTCAGCATGCCATTTAAATGACTGACAGAGGTAAATACCTTGAAAAGCAGGTATTGCAGCTTTGAGGAATGAGAAGAATTATGCTCAGCAGGGATGTTTTTGGTATACTCCCTATGTTGATCTTGGTTCACTCAATATTTGGGTTTAACTTAAGAGTCGTTAGTAACTTTCACTGAAATCAACTGCATGTTTATCTTTTGTGAGGGAAAAACCTGACTCTGAAGTCAAATATACATCCTTGTTATCCAGCACAGTTCCAGCAGGATGGGACTGTGTAAAATACTGCAGAGAACAAGGAGCTGCTCTTCTTCTACATTTTTGGTTTGTTCTGAATTATTCTTCCTTTTGTCTCTGTTAGTTCCTTAAATATTGCTCACACTGAACTTACTTGTGAAAAGCAGTAATCAAAATTCTTTCCTTGTCCACTTAGTCCTTTTTCTAAATGAATGAAGATGGCATGGGCTAAAATAATGAGCAGCAAGATTAACTCTGATCTTCTCCTGCACACACACAATTGTCTATTTCTGATCACACAAGTGGCTGAAGATGAGTTGAGGCTTGGCCCAAGAGAACACACACTTGATTTGTGTAAGAAGAGGTGACTCTCAGGGTGGCAGTGCCCTCACTTTATCCACATGCAGATTTGTTTAGCCTTAGTGGTTTTTTGTGATACAAAATTAATAATCAAAAATTAATAATAAAAATTAATAATAAAAAAAATCTAGTTCTCTGCCAGGTCAGTCTGCTGAGCCAATCCTCACCTGCAGTGTCCCCAGCTCTGGCACAAATGGGCACAAATGTGGCAGTGAGAGATCACCAGTACTATTCTCTCACCTTTAACTCTCCACTACCAGTGCTCTGGTTCGTGAGGTGTGACAGTTGACATTGTGAAAATTGGCAGGGTTTTTATCCTTTCCTGTGCCACACTGACTCAGGGACCAGCTCTGAGCACCAGGCTGCCCCCGTTCCCAGCCCTGTGCTTGAAGATCAACAGAAATTGTGCAAAGAGGGCAAAGTCCAAAGGCTGGGGGCAGGTTAAGCTCGTCAGCCATATCAGTGGATATTATTGCCTGTTTCTGGGTCACAACTCTTCGTCAGCATGTTCTTTATTGAGTCCTCAGTATGAACCCAAAGATGCCAATGCAAATCCCTCTCCTGCACAGGCCTCTCTGGAGGAACGTGAGCCCAAGCACCTGGCAGATGCTTGTTCCAGTACAGGAAGGTGACACAGCTCCAGTGATAAGGACAGGACAAAAAATGCAAGTTTCACGTGTAGGAGAGTATAGGTTCCATTTGCAGGAATGGTTATTATCCATTTGTTTGAAGAACACGGTGTTTTTGATAGTCTTAAAATTTCAGATAGAAATGGTATGGAAATCTGTGGATGAAATTGTCCAAGGAGAACATAGCAAGAGAGAGTTAAAGTCCAGAGGAGAGAGCGCTGTAATCTTCACAGAGGGCTGGAGAGAGGTGAGACTGTCCACAAGAGGCTCTGAAAGAGATCCAGCAGCAGCAAGAGGGAGCTCAGGGGTGGCTGTGTCACCTGCTGAGGGTGTCTGATGGCACAGGAAAGGCCAGGCTTTCCCAGCTGGACCAGAAGCTCATTCCAGACTTCACTGAGTGCTTTCCCTGCAGGCTAAAGGGCTGCAACTGGCACGGAGCTCTCTGGCCTCTGTCTCTGCTGGAATTTGGGGTTCTGTGACGTAAATGGTTGTTGCTTGTTGGGGGGATTTTTGCCGTAAAGTTTCCTTTTTTCCTTTTCTATGTATAATTCTGCTCATGGAATGTTATTAGCTGGAAGTTACTTCAGATTTTATTTTGTCTTTGGTACCACTTTAGAACATTAGGACTGCTGTGAAAGGAATTTGATTCTTTTGTTTCTGCCCGTTACCCTTTCCTGTCTCCTGGTGCTTTTGTGCACACCAAATGCTCATGTGACTGGTGTTACGGGGATTGCAAAATTGATCGGGGTTAAAATTCTCCTTACTTGAAAAAAAGGCTGATTTTTGCCCAATCCCCTGTGCCTGCCTATCGTGTGCTCTCAGAAACACCTGCAGTGGTACAAGAGGAGGCACTGGTGAGGAAGAGGAGTGAGAAGCCCCTTCCCACCTCAGGAGCCACCCCCCTGCTCTGCAGGAAGTTGCCCCTCTTTGAAGAACAGCAGTGGGAAGGCTGCAAACCACAACCAGAGGAGGGGAGAAGGCACAATTACAGCCTGAGCTTGGCTTTTTGGTGCTTTAAGGATTAAAAAGGGGAAAATGTTAATAAGAAATTAAGTGAAAATAGGCACAACTTCATGAAAGGTATCTACACAGCAATGATAATGCTTCAGCCAGGAGTAACTCTTTTTTTTTTTAATCTCCCAGGAGTTTTGTGTGGCCAGCAAGGATTTTCCAGGTGTTTTATTAGCAGGTGAGTGTGCTGCTCCTGATGAAATAACTTGTTTAATCCACATTCTGCTTTTAGGTTATTGCTTTGTGTTTTGAAGCTGCTGGCATTTGATGTTTGTGTGGTCTCTGCTGAGGGTGCCCGAGCAGAGCCCCAGGCAGTGATGGAGGCTGTGCTTCAGCAGCACTCTTGGCCTGGGTTTGTAATTATACAAGGCCATGGCTTTTGTCTCACTTGCATGGGAAATATCAGCATCCAGTCCTTTTATAGCAGCAGAAGAGCTTTCCTGGATTTAATTACTTTCAGACCAATCAGTTGAAGTCAAGAGGAATGTTTTTGTTTATTTCTGGTCCATCTTGCATTGTAATGTAGTATTTAAAATAAGCTCATGGGTTTAGGTCATCCTGTGAATTCAAAAGGGCATTTGTGGTTTTGTTAGTTATTTCCTTTTTTGTTTATGAACCTAGTGTAGTTGTAGACCAGTTTTTTGAAACTCTTAGGTAATTAATAAAATCCTGTTGTGTTAGGATGACTCAAATTTCTCTTTGTGCTCCACTAATTTAATCCTAGTGTAATCTGATTAGGCATGGTTAACCTGTTAAATTAACTCTTGAAATTATTTTTCCAAAGTCAATCTGTGCTTTAACAAACCCATTTATTGTCTCCTTCACAACCAGATGCCTGTCCCAGGCCAGTATCTATAGCTAAGAATCTGCTTATGTGGCTTCCAGAACATCATGGCTTTTTCTGTGTAAACCAGTGTTCCTTGAGTTTTTTTCCTAGCGATACAAAACTATATTTATTTCTAATTGGCAGCTGGTTAAACAAGCCCTGGCTGCAGTGTGCTCCAACAGGAGAATGCAGAATAAATCTTGATACAGAGCAGTGCCCAAAATTCCCTTTGGCCGGGTTGGAAGTACACAGGGTGACACCACAGGGCTCAGGACTGGTTAACTTTTTTTAAAAAAATCTTATCTAGATTTGCTTTCTGATATAAAATTCAGTAATTCCAGGCTGCAGGGCTCAGGTTTGGGGTTGAGGAGTGTTTGGGAGGCCTCATCTGAGATCACAGAATCCCTTAATGCAATTACATGGGCATTGGTCATGGTGCCTGACTCGAGGTAAAACTGTTCTGGCCCTATGAATGTTTAGATAAGGGAGATGACATAATTGTGAACAACTCCCAGTTTCTATCAACTGAGAGGTTATTTTAAGTTTTATTATTGTTTCTTTGGTTAATTGGGGGTCTTGGGCTTTGCATTCATTATGTCACACACTCTGAAATCTTTAACAGTGCATTCCACAGATTTCAGTAAAATCTTGTTTGTTGTTATAGGAGAGGTAATCAAGTAAACATTCCTCTGCTGCTAAATATAGCAGCAAGCTGCTTATGAGTCAGAACCTCAGCAGATACTTCTGCATATCAGTGAAAACTTCATTGGCTCTCTGTCGTGTTCCTTATGTGAACAAACAACAGCTCGGATCTTCCTTGTTCTCCCATTGCAGAAAACATTTTGCAGTGATCACTGTAGTGAGGTTATGTTTGTAAGGGACCCCACAGCTGCATCATGTAATTGTTCTGGAGCACGACACAGCAAACTTGGAGATTTACAACGTTACATCCATTGTTGATTAGTAATTAAGCTTTCAAGTATTCAAAAATATAATTTCCCTGCACAAGAGCAGTTAAGGGCAACTTACTGAATAAACACATCCAGTGTTTAAACAGTGATAAAAACATCCAAAACAACAAGTATGTCATTTTTATAGCAGTTTTAAAAGTCTTTGGATGTTGTTGCAGGTTTTTAGGCGGTGTATTGCAAACTCACATTAGTAAATAAAGTGGTAGATCATGTTAATATAATTCATCATTTCTTTCCAACAATAACTCGGGGAAAAAAACCTTCCAGTTCTTTGTATATCACTTGCCCAGTAATTTTTTCTTTTTTAATATGATCTATGATAAACAAAAGGAGCTGCTTGGCAGCAACTTGTTAGAATTGCTTCAGTGTGATTGCTACATTATGTCCAATGCTTACCCTTATTTTTGTACAAATATTCTTATATTAAGCTGGCATAAGAAGCTTGTTATCATCTCAGCTTAGTGGAGCAGAGTTCTCTGTGTGAGCTGGGCACTTGACTGAGATGGAGGAAACCATTTTCTCTTGTTCCTGTTTGAACCTTGGGCTTCCCTGTGTGGCTGCCCTGGCAGATGGGTTTTATCCATCCCATAATGTTCCACAGAAACAACAGGACAGTCAGAAGTGACTGGCACGTTCAGAGAGCAAATGATGGAGTTCCCAGTGCCCAGCACTGGGAGAGGGAAATGCCCAGTTGTGAGCAGAGCTCCAGGGCTTCCCTCTCAGGTGGGACAGCTCAGTGCCTTTTGCTGCTGGTTTCTGCATCTTTATTTACTAATTAAGTGCAGGAAACACAATGAAAAAAATAATTACTATTAAATAACTCATTTAATGTTAGGTCCTGGGCTAATGCACTTAGAAGTGAAGCTAATGAGGTGTTCCAGTGATGCACAGCAGCCAGGATTATGTTAATCTGGGTTTAGTGACACAAGCATGAGAATTTTAGAGCTTCTTTTTCAGAATCAAGTATCCTGTTCTGAAAACTGAACAAAGGAATGGAGGGGTTTGAGTCTCTAAAATGAAATACATCAAGGGCATTAACATTTGCCTGTAACACACTCCTATGATGGCAGCTCCTTTTCTGCATAAAAAGATGGCTTAGAAAAGGATATATGCAAAAACTGAATTGCTTGAAATGCAATATCTGCTTGCTTCTAAAACAGACACTTTAATTATTAAAGATGTCAAATCTTTTTAGTTGTAGAATTTTTTTGAGGAAAGTAGTGGTCCAGGTAGTTAGCATCCATAGCATCTTTGGTTTGTATTAGTTTGGGGGTTTTTTGCCATATAAAGGTCTTCATAAACAACTGTATCATGTTTGTGTAGTGCCCTCTTCGGAAGTCAAAGTAAGATTCCAAAGTAGTTGTATTAATTAGTCTTGCACTGATGACCACAAGTGCTATTCAGATGTACAGGGTTATTATTTCTGCCTGTCTGTACCTTAAACTTGGCTGGACTTTCTATTCAGCAGGCAAATACATGCTTGGTACAAATGAGAACAACCTGAAAGACCAGGTTGGAATTATTCAATATACTGATAAAGGACTGGCTCGTTTAGGAGGCTCTTTAGTGGTGCATTGCAGGAATGTGCTCAGCTGTGGAGCTGCTCAGAAGGCACTCATGGCTCTGGGTTTGCCCTTCCTGCAGCAGCACCGCCTGTTCTCAGCAATGTTCTGCTGCGGCAGGAATGTGCTCAGCTGTGGAGCTTCGAGCAGAGGCACTGCTCAGAAGGCACTCATGGCTCTGGGTTTGCCCTTCCTGCAGCAGCACCGCCTGTTCTCAGGAATGTTCTGCTGCTCGCTTTCCTGTGCCTTCCCAGCCAGCAGCCCTGAACGAGCTGAAATTCACCTGATTCATAACTGATAACGAGAAATCTTTTACCTTCCTATTGCTACCCTGTTTCAGAGGTGGTTTTATCTCGGAGTTTGCACCTGCCTGGCATCACTGACCTGTTTCTTTTCATTTCTGTTTCTCTGGTGTGAAGTACAAGCTGGGTGCACTGCGGCACCAGGGGTGTGTTGGTCACGGTGGGGCAGCGCTGCTGTGCCCTTCAGATCTGCTCCACCTCCTGCCTGCTTCCCAGCAGCTGCAGGGCTGGGGGAACAGTGCTGGGAGACGAGGAAAGGGATAACAGAACAATGGGAAAAGCGCATCTTTGAAGAGTCAGGGATCCTGGCAGTATGTGGGCTTCCCACCCAGCCCTTCTTTTTACAAACTGGCTGCAGGTCACTCTTACTGCCTCAGAGCTTTTCCAGTTTGTAGCTGATGCTTTCCCCATTTAATCAGGAAATTCACTGTATTCTGTCTTTCATGAGAGCAGTTCTCTCGTGAAATGGCAGTGGTGATGTGGAGACTTCACACAACTGTCACACCAACTCACTTGACAGTGATTGTATCACCATAAGGGCAGAGAAATGAGGTTTATTGGGGAAAAACACCTTGACTGACAGGTGTCATAAGCACAGGCTAGCCCTGTGTGAACAGGTTTATAGGAAGAGAAAGCACATGGATTTTATATAAGCTTTCCTGGGTTTCTTTTTGTTTGGGTTTGGTGGTTTTGTTTTGTTTTGTGGGATGTGTCAGTATGTGTATCCAAGTGCAGACAAACTGAAGCTGTTGTTAGTTACTGATGAATAACGTGGCCACGCTTAGCAGAGAGCAGGAAGCAGCTTTTTGTCACACTTCCTTTGGGGGCTGCTGTGTCACCACACATCAGCAGAGCTCTGGGGCACAGCCAGGGCTGAGCCTGAGCAGAGGGGTGGCAGCAGCTCGTTTGGGCTGCTGGAATGACAAATTGTGGGGTTTGGCCCGTTATTCAGCTTCTCCTTGTGCATATACAGGGCTAAAAGGAAGCTTTCAGTAGTGCCAGTGGTGTTCCTGCAGATGGAAGGGTTGCTGCATAGCAGATCTTTGAGTAATGCTGTCACATGAGGAGGATTAAGTGCTCTGGTTGCTGCATGATCAGTGGAGATGTTTTTGTTTTAATGAAAAAAGTAAATATAGACAAATTACTGCTTTTAAAAATGTGAGCTCTTAAGCAGCAAGATAAGAATAAACTTAATTTAAAGCATTGAAATGACTCAAAGTCTGCTTGAAACAATATTTTTCAATTGATGACAATATAAGTTCATGGAACACTTAAACTTGGGTTCCTGAGGTAGCAAATAGTTGTGGCTGAGGGCCTTTGAGTCATGCTGCAGATGTGTGGTGAGCAGTCTGTGGAACCTCGGTGGGAATTCTGAGTTCTGCTGATCCCTTTGGGCACCTCTGAGCTGATGGCTGTGCTTTGAAGCTGCTGGCAGCAGTGTAGGGTTTGTAACGGGTTGGGTTTTGCTTTGGAGTCCTGCACGGAGCTCTGAATGAGTGGTGAGTGAAAGGGAAGTA